ACTTTTTAAAAATAATTTTAGAGCTGGTAAGATGGCTTCTGGGTAAGATACTTGCTACAAAGCCTGACAACCCGAGTTTGACTCCTGGAACCCACGTGGTAGAAAAAGAAAACTAAATCCTGCAATTAGTCCTCTGACTTCCACATTTAAATTTTAAAATATTTTAAACAGTGAAGAACGTCCCCCAAACTCCACAAGTCCGTTGACAGGTACATGTTGGAAACACCTCACCTGTGGCACAGAACTAAACACACAAAGAAGGGATGATCGAGAATAGAGCTCAAGAGCAGGGTCCACAGCACAGTGTGATGGCAAATACCTGTAATTCCAAAATCTGGGAGCAGAGGCAGGAACATTGACATAAAATCCAGGCCAGCCAGGACTGTACTGCAGAACACTCACAAAAAGAGAACCGAGTCAAAATCCTAGTGGAATTCTGTACAGAAATCAATATCTGGGGCTGGAGAGATGGCTCAGCAGTTAAGAACATTGGATGCTCTTCCAGAGGACCAGGGTTCAATTCCCAGCACCCACATGGCAGCTCACAATTGTCTATAACTCCAAGATTTGACATCCTTGCACAGACATACATGCAGACAAAACATGTAAAATAAAACTAAGTGAAAAATTTTTAATAAGAAATGAACCATCTAATTTTAAAACATATGAGGAAAGGCAAATGTGACATGACTCTGGAAAAGTTGCAGGCTTTACTATCTGATTTTAAGTGTTACTGCATTTCTTATAAAGGCATTGTAGAACACATTCAGTTGGGAGAAGATAGTCTTTCCAATAAAGTATATTGAAATAGTTGTTATATGCAAATGAACTTTAATCCAGAACTTATTTATAAAAATGAACTCAAAATGAGTTCTGTGAGAACCTAAACTTTACTAAAACATACAAAGAGGCAGGGGGAGCCAGGTATGGTGACGCACGCCTTCAGTCTCAGTACTCAGGGAAGCAGAGGCAAGAGAATCTATGTGAGTTTGAGGCCAGTCTGGTCTACAGAGTGACTTGCAGGACTGTGCAGGCTGCACAGAGGAACCCTGTCTCAACAAACAAACTAACAAAGCAGCACAGGAACAGTTCTAGTGACTTAGAGTCAGGTCCTGGAAGAGAGGCAAGAGTCAAGGCCTTTGGACTCTTGACACACTCATCAAGACAGTCTCAAAGAAGAGGCCCGAGGAAGGTGACAGCATTAGTATTAGTGGTAATTTATTTTTAAAATGTTCAACAGGCTATTCTTAAAATTGTATGGAATAAAATTAAGCTATTCAATCTCGTTTTATAGAATACAGATAGTAAAATAGTGATAGTGAGGGGCTGGGGAGATGGCTCAGTCAATAAAGTGTCTGCTGGGCAAGCATGAGGACCTGAGTGTGGATCCCCAGCACCCATGGGAAGGCCAGCTGTGGTTGCTGGAGTCTAAGCCTACTGTGTTGGCAGAAGTTTCTGCCTTGCCAGCAGCTCCTAAGTAAACACACTGAGGCTTATATTAATTACAAATGCTCTACGGATAGCTCACGTGGCTCGTGGCTTTACCTGTCCTCCAGCCTGTCTGGCTTCCTCTCCATCTGGTTTATGACCCCTCTGACTCCACCCTTCATCCCAGCATTCTGTTTGGCTGACCCACCTATACTTCCGGCCTGGCTACCAGCCGGTTAGCTTTTTATCAACAATGAGAGCAACACATGTTCACTGTGTACAAAAGGATTATCCCACAGCAGGGAAGGGGCTGCCACAAGTGAGTTCCTGGGGCTCACTGGCCTGTGAGGGTGGCCAGTGTGTGAGATCCAGAACCAGAGAGAGACCCTCTCAAAAATAAGGTGAATAAATGATGGAGAAACATATCTGTTGTTAACCTCTGGCACACTTGCAGACACCAGCAAGCACACCTGAATACACTCATATTCTCACACGTATACACAGGCGTGCGTGCATGTACACATACACACACACACACACACACACACAGGCAATAGTGAAGTAAACCAGGTTACTTTTCCAACATTTTAACAATTCAACACTGTCTCCTTTAGGTTTTTATAGCCAAGACAGGGTTTCTCTGTGTAGCGCTGGCTGTCCTGGAACTCACTCTATAGACCAGGCTGGCCTCCAACTCAGAGATCCACCTGCCTCTGTCTCCAGAATGCTGGAATTAAAGGTGTGCACCGCCACACCTGGCCTACATAATTTTTTACTCTAGACACGCAATTAACCTTTTTGTTTGTTTTGAGGTAGGATTTCATGTAGCCCAAGCTGGCCTCAAACTCACTGTGTAGACAAAAGGGGACCAGATTCTCCTGCTTCCACTTCCAAGTGTTGAGATCATAGGTACAGGGTACCAGGCCCAGTTTTTATGCAGTGCTGGAACTGAAACTCAAGAACCTTCTACATCCTAGGCAGGTACTCTGCCTTCTGAGTGACATCCCCAGCCCTAGTTGTGATTTTGCTTAACTATTTTTTTTTTTTTTTAATGTTTCAACTTAAGTAGCCTCTGTTGAATTGTCTTCAAGTTCGCCAGTTTCTTCCTTAGCTGTGTTGAACTTATTGATGAGTCAAAGGTGTTCTTCAGCTCTGGAGTGTGTTTTTCTAGTGTTGAGTATGTGTGATAATTTCTTGCTCTCAGCTAGTCCCGCTCATTTACAGTGCCTACACTTTCCTACATTGTCAGACAGCTGGGCCTCAGACCTGGGCCTCATCATTACTCTGGTTTTACAAAAGGTTTAGGTTGTTGTTTTAGTTTTTCAAGACAGGGTTTCTCTGTGTAGCCCTGACTTTCCTGGAACTTGCTTTGTAAGTTCAGGCTGGCCTGAAACAAAGAGATGAGCCTGCTTCTGCCTCCCGGGTACACAATTAAAGGCATGCTCCACCACACACATTTTTGGTTTTTAAAAATGTGTTTCCGTATATATTGTGATTTTTGAGCGCTCTGTGGACATAGTACATAGAATCATTGGCACTAAGTACAATGTTACTTGTGCCTGGGAATTGCGGTCTTGTGCTAGGCCTTTAGTGTGAGGGACTGAGTTGTCTCTGTCACTGTTCTATCATCTGGGTTCCCACACATTCTGCACAGTTCAATAAATATTTTAGCTAGTTCTTCTAATTCTTCTTACCCTCGTGCAGGGAGACTTCCTATCCCCCTCAGAAGTAAACCAGTGCCTACATTCTGTGTCCTCTTGGAGGCTCCTGTCCTTTGGAATTCACATCAATTAGTCGCTCTGCAACTGCAATTCTCTTAAGGTTGGCACACTACGAAGTCAGTTCAAGTTTTAGGAACTGTTATTAGTGTGGTAATACTCTCTCCAGCTGCCTGCATCCCAGAAACCAGACTATCAGGCCATCTGCTTTTTACTGCCCTTTCAAATCTGGCCATCAATTCCTTGCCAGCCTGGGTCATTCTTCTGGATGACACACTTCCACTGTAGCTTACAACCAGTTTTTGACAAGTATCTGGCAACAGGAAGGGTCAGACATGCCTAACCTTTCATCATCTTTGATTGAACGTAATCTGTGGATGAACTGATTGTGGATGAACTGATTGCTCACAGTCAGCTACAGAGAGATCTCCTGGGTTATACTTTCATTCTTCTCACTACTGCACTCAACCAGTCCAAAAAGTCCAGGCAGGGGTGGGAGCCTGTGGGAGCCGGTGACATGTGACCATGTGCTGACAACGAGACCAAGTATCTACTCCATCCATTAATGAGAAATAAGACTCAAGCTTACTAAAATATTTCTTGAAAAATGAACGTTGTAAAAGGATAAGAGAGCATGCTAGCCCTGTGGTGACACCATCTCAGGAGGCGGCCTGCCCAAGTTCGATTCCAGCCCTGTCACGGGCCAGCTGTAGGACCTTGAACACTTGCTTCCTCCACCTCCCTGTAGCTCTGTTTCTGTGTGTAAAGTGGACATAGAGCACTTACCTCAGAGGATTGAGGGTTAATATTTGCAAAGCACTCCCAGTCACTCCCGTAGAAATGCTGACAGTCAGGACTCCCTTCCTATAATGTCACAAGTTCATGGTAGAATGCAGTTCTTTCCCTTTTCAGAACCCATCCCAACCAAGAGAGCGGAGGCTTATGGAACATTTCCAATGTAACCGAAGTCCTACACTAAGCATCTTGTATGACTTTTTAAGAGTGGGGATTAATTATTCCTAGTTAATAGACAGGGTCAAGGATCAGAGAAGAGTTTGCCTAGGTGGCTAGAAGCTTCAGGAGGTTAACAACTCACGAGGAGGACTGAGTGTAATACCTATAATTTTAACCACTTCACTGCCGCTGTCCATAACTAGTCCCATTCTTCCAGTGGAGAAAGTTGCCTGTTATAGTTACAGAGTTGTTCTCAAATATAGTCCCACAGAAGAGTCAGTGCCTTAGGATTGCTGGAGTATTATCTGTAGGGAAACCCAATGCAACCTGCTTCTCACAGCCCACCACTCCCGTTTGCCCTCCCAGGGGCCAGGGGAGGGGTGGGGGGCACGGAGACACTGTGCTTCAATACCAGAGCCTAGATTTTATTCTATCAAAGGAGGGGAATGGAACATGACAACACTTGTGCTCTGAACTGTCCAAGCTGACTGCCTAGTGAAGAATGTGGCTAAGTTAGAGAGGACACAGGAAAACCCGAGGGAGGCTACTACAGTGGGAGCCAAAGCCAGAGAGTGGTGGAAACAGGAATGGTGGATTGGAAAGATACTTAGCAAATAGAATTGACATGAAATGGAGGTGTATTTTAATATGGGCCTCAAAGGAGAAGATGATGCCAAGGATGGCTTTCAGATAGCTTGACCCCAACACAGATTGATAATGGAACACACACACACACTCACACTACTTTCCAGGGCCAGACAGCAAGGGGATGGGTGTTGGAGGGGAAAAAAATGGGAACGGAGTCTTGATCCAGGAGCTGTTATACTGGACACTGCTGGCACTGGTCTGAGCCAGGAGATGCTACAAATGGGACAGTTTCCGTCTGGACCGCCCACCCACGCCAGGCCGAACGTCTGGCATCTCTGCTAACACCTCGAGGTGTTGGCTCCCTGCCGGCGTGGAGGGTGCGGCGCAGGATCATCCCCTCCAGCACTGACCGGCCCAGTGAGCTGACCGGTAGGGCGGCGGCTCAGTGTGGTCCTGGGGCCAGCTGAAGTAATCCAAGGTCGGGGGTCAGCCGCAATGCACGCAATGCACCTGTCTCATTGGGCTGCAGCTGACCCTCGCTTCCCCATCCCGCACCTCCTGGAGAAGTGCGCGCATAAGCGTGGCCAGGGTGTTAAGAGGTGCGGAGAGGCGGGCAACGGGTGCGTGCGCGTGGTCGTTGCGTGGGCGCTGCTCGCAAGTCGGAGCGCATCAAGTGTGCGTGGGCCGGAGCCGGCGCGTGTGCCCGCCGCCGCTGTGCGCTGGGCGGGGGTGCCGCAAGTGCTTCGGGGCGCGCGCGGCCCCGCGCCGGCGCTCGCGGCCGCCGGAGCTAGGAGGGATGCGTGCGGGAACTTTTCGCCCGCCCCGCAAGTCCGGGTCCGGGTCGCGGCCGGCGTTCCGAGGGGCTGCCCCCCGCCGCCGGCCCCGAGTGCCCGCCCCGCCCCCACTTCCGCCTCCCGCCTCTTCCTCGTTCCCGGCTCCCAGGGCCGCCTGTCCCCAGGGAGCCCCGCAGGCTTAGCCCCACCCGGCCGGCGCTGCTCGCTCCCACGCCCCCGCCGCCGCTTGTCGGGAGCGCTTCCAGTGAGCCAGCGGGGCGCGGGCGCTGCAGGTAGGGGGTGCGCGGGGTAGGCTCAGGTGCAGCGGACCGGGGCCACGCAGCACGCGAACGCGGGGCGCCCTCCTCTGCCCGCCCCGTCTTCGCCCACGCGCTGGTCCCCTTTTAGGGAATTCTTTGCCTCTTGCCTCCTTGGGCGCGGGTGGGGCCGGGGCGCAGGGCGTTCTCCATTTTCCTGGCTCCTGCCTGGGTCTCAGGAGCCTGCCTCCCAATCTCCACTCTTCCCAGTACCTATGGTCGCGTAAACAACTGCCTAGCTCCAGGTCTCCGCTCCGCAGCCCCTGGTGGGCAATCTCTTCAACCTGGTAAGACCACAGCGTCAGGGGGAGGGGAGAGGAGAGAGGCGTCCGGGTGGCCCCGGTTCGCGGCAGCTCGCCTCCCCTCCCCGCAGCTCCGCAGACCGCCCCTGGGGCCCTGGGTATTTTTAGCGTTGTGACCTGGGCGGCAGCTCTAAGAAGTCTTTCTCTGGAGTCCGCGTCAGCGTCTCCGTTCTCCACGGCCAGCCGGCAGCCACATCAGCTCCCGGCACTTCCTTGACCCTGCCTGGCTCATTAGTTTTGGGTTCCCCGTGAGCTTACTCTAGTGCTTGAAGACCTGGCCAAGAGCTGGGTTACCCTGCCCAGAAGAGGTTTTTGGAGGATGACAATTTGTTCCTCACCCTAGAAATTTCCGTGCTCCCGGTGATGGTGATGGGTTCAGAGCAGTGTAGCAGGAATGAGAATGAATGCACAAGGCTGGCCCCAGAGCTGTGGCTGGGGTTCTGCAAATTTCAGTACTGGGAATCTCGAGGCCTGGTCTGAACTGTGCCCAGGCATTACCCTTCTAGTTGGCACTTGCTGGCAGGGGAGGTAAGCGAGACAGATGTGTGAGAGGAGGGGGGGGGGACAACTGTTAAGAGTTCAGAGGGAAGGTGGTCAGCTTTCCCAACAGCTGTCCTTCACGAAGTATGACCATGTAGTACTTCAGGTAGGACAGTGCCTCCGGTGGGGACCTGGGGCCAGAAAGATGGTTTTCTTAGGTGCAGAGGCAAGTCAGGAAGTTAGGCCTTTGACTTCAGAGAAAGGATTCGGAGGTGATGGGCATCGTGGCAATGGTGTGTGTGTGTGTGTGTGTGTGTGTGTGTGTGTGTGTGTGTGTAAAGAGAAGTGTGTGGGGGAGGAAAGTTGCTGTAGTCTTTCCTTGGGTTTCGAAGGGAGTGGGAAGAACCAGAGCATCTGCACCCTCTTCCCTAGCCTGCTGAGGGGAGCTGGGTCCATGAAATGGCCAGGCGCTCCCCCCCCCCCCCAACCTCTCAGAAGGACATTGTAGGCAGTTAGGCAGCCATTGGCAGCCTTGATTAACAGCAGGCTCTCATAGTGCCTGATACTGACATCCCCTTTGTGAAACCAGGGCTGGCCCTTCCTCTACATGAGCCTTGAAATGTGTGGGGTGAGTTTTGTTTCACAGAAGGGAAAGAGGCTGCTTAGACCAGAGCTGTCCAGACTGGAAGCAGAGGCGGGGATGCTGGCTGCGCGGGGCTCCTTAAGCCGGGGTCCCACTTCTTCCCATCGAATCCCCACAACTGCCTTTGTTTTACTCCTTTATCCTCCAGGGGCTGACATGGACCCAAATCCACGAGCAGCCCTGGAACGCCAGCAGCTGCGTCTCAGGGAACGGCAGAAGTTCTTTGAGGACATTTTACAGCCAGAGACAGAGTTTGTTTTCCCTCTGTCCCATCTTCATCTGGAGTCGCATAGACGTGAGTTTCAGGTCCTGAGTTCGGATGGGTTGGGGAAGGTGTCCTCGTGGTTCTCAAATCTTGGGAGCCATCTCCCTTGCTGTTTTTGTGACCCAGTAAACTCTGACTGGGGATCTCCCAGGCGATTCTGATGGTCTGGAAGCTTCAGCCTGGTCTGCCTGCCCTAACACTCTCTCATCTGCAGCCCCCATAGGCAGCATCTCGTCCATGGAAGTCAATGTGGACACACTGGAACAGGTGGAATTCATTGACCTTGGGGATCAGGATGGAGCAGATGTGTTCTTGCCTTGTGAGGACTCTCCACCAGCTCCCCACATGTCTGGTATGCCTCTCTGCTTGGGGGAGCTGGGTACCATTTGGTCAGTGCTGAATGTTTGGGCCCAGAAATGAGGTTGCAAGTCTGAGCTGGGAAAGAATCTTCAGTAGAAGCTGGAAGTGTGTGTCCCAGCTAGAGAAACAGCTCTGATTTAGGGAAGTTGACTCTCAGGGGGAAATGGTCTAGGAATGGCTGACTGCTTTTGATTTTAATTTTTTATGTTTGTGAAAGTAATGCAATTACCATAATTAAACTAATATAAAACATAATGGTCATGTTAGACAACCTAAAACCTACTCCTACTACTAAATTTTACCAAATGATTTACTGGATTCTTAATATTATACTAAGTCCTTCACATATTTTCTCTCGATCTTTATAATGCCCTATGAGGACAAGGAATAGACTTTTCATAGAAGGAAGTTAGAAGCCTGGTGGCGGTGGCGCACTCCTTTAGGCAGGTGGATCTCTGAGTTTGAGGCCAGCCTGGTCAACAGAGTGCGTTCCAGGACAGCCAAGGCTACACAGAAAAAGCCCATCTTGAAGTTAGAGGCTAGGGGTTGAGTTCAGAAGCATGCTACAGTATGCTTGCCGGGCAGGTATAAGACCCTGAGTTTGATTTTAGTGCTGGGAAAAAAAAAAAAATTAGGTTCAGAGAAGTTCAGTCACATAGGCAGGAAGTGGGAAAGCTGGGTATTCAAACCCTGTATCTAGTTCCAAACTCTGTATGCTTAACATGTAAGACACATACTCTTATTTAAAGGGGCTGCTGCCATTGCTAGATCCCTCTAATCACAGGCCTCAGGAAACAGAGGCAGCATGATCCTGAGTTTGAAGCCAGCTACAGAGCAAGACCCTGTCTGCAAAAAAACAAATTGCTATTATTTCCTGATGGCCTCAGACATTTGATACACCTTCTTAAGATTTTTACACTAAAAAGTTAGAAATGTGGGTGTCCTTCCTTGAGAGGGAAAATGACTTGCCTACAGCTATTCAGGAAGAGGTGAGGGAGAGCGGGAGCTCTTAGAAGGACAACAGCACATAAGATGATACAGTGGTAGGGATGGGGCTGGATCCTAATCCTGACTCCTTACTGATGGGGGGCGGGTAATTCTGGACAGGTGCCCATCCTTCTCTGTACTTCAGTTTCCCTGGCCAGATACTCTCAGAGTGCTCTAAAGCCCTGTGTGGGGGCCCTCACCAGCTCTTCTCTATGGGTAGGAGTGGACAACCGTCCAGAGGAACTGAGCCTGCCAGTACCCACGCCAGACAGGACCACATCCCGAACTTCCTCCTTGTCCTCTGACTCGTCTAACCTGCGCAGTCCAAATCCAAGTGATGGGGGAGCAGACACGCCCTTGGCACAGTCTGATGATGAGAATGGGGATGATGGAGGGGCAGAGCCTGGACAGTGCAGCTAGCACTGGGCCTCTTGAAGACTGACCAATCTGGCTGTTCTCCTTAGAGAGGAGATCCCAGGCCCAGCAGAGCACTCCGGAGAAGACACTTTACTTGCCATCAGCACCAAAGTGAGAAGGGATGGCGGATGGTGTACCTGAGAATTAGCCTTCCCCCTGCTTTCTGCTAACTTTCTCCCGCTGCAGCCTTCCCACCAGTGGTTTCCTTCTGAGGTAGGACTTCCAAATGAGAAGCGGGAAGATGAGGTAGGACAAGATAGCATTGCTTTGTTAGTACCCCTCCTGCCCCCAGGTGACCCTGTAGTCTTTCTCCTACATCGGTGTCTGAGGACAAGTTCTGAGGAGTTCCACTGCGCACTCTGTGAGGCTGTACTGTTGTAACCTTGCCTCTTTAAGTCCTTTTTGGAACAGGATATAGTATAAATAATAAACTATAATATACCAGTCATTTCACCTCATTCTTCACATTGCAAAGGTACCACACCCACTGTCCTTAACTAACCAGTGCCATACCTCTATCATTCATATACGCCATTTAGTCAAGAAATACTTAGGACTTTTAATATCTTTGCAAGGCATTTGTAATAGAGTTCTGAGTAAGGCGAAGTGCTTTGCTGTTTACACAGAGTTTATTGTCTGTGGTGGAGAAAATCAGGTAAATGCAATTCACAGTATAGTAAGTAGCAAGATCAAGTTCTCCTCTGGCATCAGGAAACAAACTTGTAGAATAATTTCTTAAGCAGAGAGATGAAGGACAAATAGGAGTCGCCAAGCTGGGCAGAGGGAAATGGATCCTATCCAGGGAGAAGGTGCAGCCTGTAAACACTGAGTGGAAAAGCCAAACTGGATGTGGGGGCTCACATATGTAATCTCAGCACTTGAGAAGTGGAGGCAGGAGGATCGGGTTCAAGGACAGCTTTGGTTTCATAGCATATGTGAGTCCAGCCAGGGCTTCATGAGACCCTGTTTCAAAAATAAAAAGTAAAATTGAGCAAAGAAGAAGAGACTAATAGACTAGCCTAAAGAAGCTAAAAAGCATTTAGTTCAAATAAATTGTTGGATTTGAAAATATACAGGGAGAGGTAAACTTGACAAAGGTCAGATTGTGAAATGCTTTGAAGCCTGTATTAGGTTTCAGTTTGACAGCTAGTAAAAGATCATGACTTAAGATACAAATTTATTTCCTCATACTAAAGAGGTCCAAAATACAGAACTGAGGGGAAGCTCCATGGTAACTGAGCACCAAGCTGCTTTTTGGGTTGTTTTCTGTAGCCATCCAAGGCATGTGACATCAGTTCTTGCCCATACCTCATGTTTAGGACAGTTGACAAAGCATTAGCCAGCATGGCTTTGAAAGGGGCAGGAAATGAGAAGAAATGGAGACTGGGCAAAGAGAGCACAGCCTGGGATCTGTTCTCACATGGACATTTTAAGAAATGGTACCCACTTCTATTTCATTGTCCAGAATTTTATAACAGAAAATGTTTCACTGTAACATTTTGTAAACACTTTGACACAGCATTTTCTATAAGAGGAAATTCTTGCTTTTGGAAAGACAGTAACCCTTTGAAATCACTGAATTTGCAGTGCATCAGATTCCAGTACTACCTGACATCTCTGAGAAACATGCCAGGGGAGGCTGGGATAGCCCTTTTTGTGGGGACTGTGTTGTCTTAACTGCAAGAGGATAGTAATCATTAGCAGCTTAGAGTTGGACTTCATTGGGAATAATGAAGGGTTAGAAGTGGTACTAATCTCCCATGTGAGGACAAAGACCACTGACCCAAATCATCATGGCCAAATTAATTCAAGCAAGCAACTAAAACAAGCTTTTTTTATTCATGTACACAGGTAGTCTCCCCCTTAAGGCAGGGTTCCAGAGATCAGCATTGGGCATGGGGGAGATAAGATGTTTATAGCTCAGGGGTAAGGGGTTTCTAAATGGGGGAAGTTGGCAGGCAAATAGGTGGGGTTATAGAAGCAGAATATAATAAGGTGGTCATAACAACAGGTAATCATTGTGGATTTTTGAAACAAAGGGTTGTAAAATGATCATAAACAGATTTTTGAAACAAAGACATGCTTGCCATTTCCTGGAATAGGCAGTATAGATGGAACTATTTGTAGTTAGGTTATAGGTGTGTCAGAGCCCAATCCTTGATAAACAGGTTTAATCATAAACAGGAATGGACCTAATTTGTCTTTACTATAAATTGACTTTGCAGCCTAAAATGGAGACAGGCTTGTTCATCAGTTGGACTTGCTTGTTTAAAAGGTAATTCTGGCTGCAGTTTAGAAAATATACTGGAGAAGGCAGGCTATAGACAGACAAATAATAATACAGTAATATATGAAAGTGATAATGGTGGTCCCAAAGGCAGTGGTGATTCCCTTACCTAGGCTGGAGCAGAGTGTAAACAAATTAACATTAATGTGCTGGTTGTTCAACAAGTGTAAAACACAAATACTGTATTGGCCCAAACGGGGTTAAAAAGGAAGAAAGAAAGAGTTGATTGTGCTTTTTCTGCCTTAGAGCTTAGTGTAGTGGAGCCCAAATGTAAATTTGCAGCCATGACTAGTGCCACAAGGCAGCCAGGTTCAGAGGTCACCAGAGATTCTCCCTTGAGGAAGTGACATTGGAACTGAGCTCTGAATAACAAGTAGGAATAAGCTAGGGGAGAAGTACCGAAGCCCCTTGTGGCATTCTGAGTGAAAGGGATCCAGTGCCTGGAAACCAGATGATTGCATTCACCTAAATAAGAGGTAGGAGTCAGGGTAGAAGTGATGGGTAGAGAAAGACTTAAAGAGGCTAACTGAGAAGCCTTTTTAATGAGTGAGTTAGGAATGGGACAAAGGTACCAGCATTGTTTGTATCTTATCCTGTAGGATGGTTTGCAGAGTTTGGGCTGAAGAGTGTAATAAATTTGTTTTAGATGTATTGAGTGTGAGTGTTTTTGATACATCCAAAACAACACAATAAGCAGGTACCTGGGTCCCCAGGTGTGGGGTTGGGTAAAAGGATTGGATTGAAAAAATAAACATACAAACATTCGTTAATGCATGGGTGGGAAGTGAAACCATACTGAGAATGAACTTGCCCAGAAAATCTTGAATGAAAGAAATTTTAGTACCCAGCCCATAAGGATTCTAGTTCATTTCTCACATTAAAAAGTCTTTAGTCTTCCTACCCTTCACATAACCACCTGCAGATTAGTGACTTTTAGGTTGAATCCCAAAACTCTTCAGTCTGAGTGACACTTGGCTTACAGTTTCATTTTTTTTCTTCCAGGAAGCCATTGTAAGTTAGTGTCCCTAAGGATAAATTTGTGGCATCTCCAAGGAAGCTAGAATGTCCTTCAGCTTCCCCTGTCTCTGTAAACTTGTAGCATAGATACCTTCTGCCCCAAAGTCTCTGGGTTCAAGCTGAGATCATCTATTAAGTTGGGCCAGGAACACAGCCTCAAGTTAACTCTTAGAATTTTTTAAGTTGCCTATGACTTTACTGTATACAGATAACAATCCTTGTCTGTGCCTACCCTCCCTAAGAATAGCAAAGCTCTACCTCTTCTGTTGATGAGCCCATCTTTCTCTTGAACTTTGGCATCTGAGCTCACCAAGCTCTGACAGGACTTTTTGGGACTACCCTTCTTCAGGGTGAATGACGAAAGCTGTACTTGCTTGGTCACCGTCAACATTCCAATAAATCTTTTAGTTCTCTAGACACACAATGCTAAGATTGTGGAGTTTGGAGCAGGAGCCTTCGTGGGGGAGGGATCTATAGCACTCTTGAGAAATAGAATTGTTTGTGAGTCTCTGGGAAATCTCCAGTTGAGCTAATATGAGCCCCAGCTCTGTCTGGAAAAGACTAGGGTCAGTGGGACCACAAGACCACTTCCTGGTTGGGACAAAGACCTCTCCTTCTGCCAAACCACAGGGGGCTGGCTAGCCTTCAGAGGCTTCATCTAGGGCTGACTGTTTCCTCAGGCTACACAGTATCCTTGGAGACAGCGTGCTGATTTAGGGCCAACTCCAAATTAAGGAGCCCAGCATTCAGTCTTCAAGCCACAGTGTGGCTTCTTTCTGTTGCAAGGCTTACTGGGTAGACATCCTGATAGACTCTGAAGAGGGATTCTCCAGCACCCTGGAAGAAGACTAAACTCATCTCTGCAGAACCTTGTGCTATGGAGGAAACAGAAGAGATCACAGATCAGGAGAGTCATTAAAACCTCACCCTGCAACAGTCCCCAGGAGTGTGCAGACCCCTGCCAACAGCATGATAATGTGAAGACAACAGTATGTGTTATCTGGCTCATTTAGGTGCAACTGAGTTCTACAATGTGCTGGCATTTGTAGAGACAGCAAAGATACCAAGGTGACCAAGAGCTCCTTCAGGAACAGACATGTCCCAGACAGTGGGAGTAGACACAATGAAGGTCACAGTGCAACTGCACAGGTGACTGTGGCTTGCTACAGGAGGGTCATCACAGGAGGTGCATGGGCTTTGATGATGGGGGCAACTTCAGGAGGAAACAGCACAAACTGGAAGAACCATGGCAAATAAGAAATTATTTGTAATGCAGCCTCTTTTCCTGGCTCTGCTGCTCACTTTCCATACTTTAGTTCCCTTATCTGTTACATGAAGATCATCCTCAACTGTCTGAAGAGATGGCTATTAATCCCCAATGTGTTATGATAACAAAGACCTTGAAAGTAGATAGGTTTTTAAAATAATTCCTTCTGTTTGTGTATGTGTATCCCTGGAGGCTAGAAGAGGGCACCAGATGTCCTAGAGCTGGAGTAGTAGGCAGTTGTGGAGCAATCAGGGTGGGTGCTGGGAACAGAACTCAGGGTCTTCTGCAAGAGGTGCAAGAGCTCCCAGCCACTGGGTCATCTCTCCCGCCCCCTGAAAGTAGGTGAGGAAAAGTGACATGCAGGTTGCTCATGCTTACACAGATTAGGACTCTGAATCTTCACCTGACATCAAATCTCTCCCTTACTACTGCAAGTCTAATGGGATCAGAAACACTAGATGTAGGGGAATGAGTCATCCTTTCAATGTTATTTTTTTAATAGAGATTCATCCACATAAAGTCAAGGCTCCTAGAGGCATTGAGTCTGGAGCTGGAATTGTAGGCGGCTGTGAGCCATCCATTGTGGATGTGGAAGAGTAGTGAGTGCTCTTAGCCAGTGAGCCATCTCTACAGCCCCTAAAGTCATCTTTGAACAATTCCTTTCTTGTTGGAGTCTATCTCAGCAGGCCTTCCTAAGACCAAGTTTGGGCTCTTCCTAGGAATAGTTGTGATATCTTACTCAAGAGCCTACTGACAAAATCCTCCATGAATGTGTTTCCTGGAGGGCAAGTGGAAAAACAAATGAGTTTAATATTGGAACAGCTATAGGTCAATAACAAAGAAAAAATGTGTACAAAAAGGTAACAGATTGTTCATGAGAGAAAATGCATGGATAACAAGAGCATGAATAGGTGTTCAACACCAGTATTGAGGAGAATGCAAAGTAGTACTACAGTGAGACCATCCAGATAGCTGCATTCAAAACCTAAAAACACCAAATGTTAGTAGGATGTGGAGCAGCAAGAACTCCTGGATTTTTATTGTTTTGTTTCTTGTTTACTTTGGGTTTTTGAGACAGGGTTTCTCTGTGTAGCCCTGGCGGTCCTGGAACTCACTCTGTAGACCAGGCCGGCCTCGAACTCAGAGTTCCATCTTTCATTGCCTCTGCCTCCTGAGTGCTGGGATTAAAGACTTGTGTTACCACTGCCCAGAAAACTTTCCTATTTTTAATAGACAAATAAAATGACAGTTTTTGGAGAAAGGCATGTTTCTTACTAAACGTTAAGCATACATATTTTTCTTTGATTCAGCCATCCTGCCCCTAAATCTTCTTCCAAGGGTCACAATAAATCCAAATCTACAAAGCAGCTTGTACAGATTATAATCAACTTTGTCCAGTATAACCCAAGCTGCTAAGAACTCCGATGCCCATCAACAGAATGGAGAAACTGGCTTATCCACACAACGTTAGCACTGCATAGCAATAAACAGAATGTCTTAGACACATGGGAAAAAGAGGCCACACAGCACTGTGTTCATGGAGATGTGAGGATGATGCAGAGCCAACTCCCATGAAGCTATGCTTTCGGTCTCCAAACCACAACGTGGTTTCAAAATCATTCCTTTCAGAAAAGAACAGGCAAAAACTTACACTATGGTATCATTTACATTTAGCCCTAGGACAGATCGATCTATTACAAAAACATTGGTTGCCTCTAGAATGTGTTCTGAAGATAGACATTGGCAGGGAAGAGTCATTAGCCATTTTTTGGGACTTTTAGGTGGTTATGGTTAAGTTTTGGGGTTCCCTCCCAACCCACACTGCTATGCTGGGTATGAACCCAAGGTCTCATGTATGGTAGGCCCTCTGCCCTGATTTAGTTACGTCCCAGGTCTCAGGAACATTCTATATCTTGTGTAAAATTGGGGGCTACAATGATATATTAATCAAAACCCAGTTGGTTTTACAAGACAGAAATGTGAACAAAACTGGACTCTGAGAATGGAGTACATCCATGTGTGAAATTTACTCCGTGGTGGCATCAAAGCTAAGAGATGAGTGGACTTGTTTGCTGGTGGGTAGCCATAATGTCGTTAAATGGTGGAGTGAATTTACGTGACTGGAGCTCATTCTTTCAAGTCTGTCACACAGTTTAAATTATTTATAATAAAAGGCCATGGGGATGGAGTTGTAGGGCAGGCAGCTCTGCCTTGGGAGTTGCTGGCTAGCTAGGTTTAGTAAACAGACACTAGACGTTTGCCCCTCACACCTGTAGTTCCAGCACTCGGTGCTGTGATTTTTCGGTACCTTCCTTCAACTACGAAATGGCCATACTGCATATTGAGCGCTTCCTAGAGGGTGGAAGCATCTCGAAGTGCGTGAGCCCTCAAGTCAGCCCACCCTCCCCGCCAAAAGCCCACTCCCCTGCACCAGCAACCTCCGGGACCAGCGGACCGGTCGCGCTGCCCCTCCGGTAACCGCACTGTGGTTTCCGGGACATCACCGGAAGTCCTTCCTTACACACCCTTCCTATTGGACGCCGGCTTTGGTGGGCGCGGGCGCTGCTGGGAGGCGGAAGCGGCCGCTGGCATGGCGGCGGCCGTGCCGCTCGCTGCGCTGCAGCTGCTGCTGCTGCTGGGACCCGGCTGCTGGGGCCACGCGGAACGCCCACGCGACAGCCTGAGAGAGGAGCTTGTTATCACTCCGCTGCCCTCCGGGGACGTGGCCGCCACATTCCAGTTCCGTACGCGTTGGGATTCGGATCTGCAGCGGGAAGGAGGTGAGTTCAGGACCTGAGAAAAATGTCTGTGACACTTCACTGAGTTCGTTTAGGGGACAGTGTCTGAGGGCGGGGTCTGGGTCGCCACTCACCTGCCCTGGTGTCTTCAGTGTCTCATTACAGGCTCTTCCCTAAAGCCCTGGGGCAGTTGATCTCCAAGTATTCCCTGCGGGAACTACACCTGTCATTCACGCAAGGGTTTTGGAGGACTCGATACTGGGGGCCACCCTTCCTGCAGGCTCCATCAGGTGCAGAGCTCTGGGTCTGGTTCCAAGACACCGTCACAGAGTGAGTTCCCACCTCAGGGACTGTTACGGGTCGTGGAGGGAGTGTGGCAGGGGAAGGTGTTGTCATCTTGCCATTGCCCTTGGGATCAACTGCCCTAATAGGTGGCGATCCCACCAAATTGATTTTGGAAATAAGGGATGATATTACAGGACCGGGTAGATGCCATGTCATAAAATGGTTTGCCACTTAAGTGTGAGGACCTGAGTTTGAAAGTTCCAGAACCCACTTGAAAAGCAGGGCTGGTGATGCAGGCCTGTAATCCCAGAACTGGAGGAGGTGGAGATTGGAGGAACAAGCTTGCTGGATCACTGACCTCCAGGTTCAATCAGAGACCCTAATCACACACACACCCCCCAATGAAGAGAGGGAATGAAGAAGACAAATCTTGTTCATCTCTGGCCTCCACTGCTGTGTGCATCGGTGTGCCTGCATATACAACACAAAGAAATTCATTAACACCCAGTGGCATTCTTTACTTTGCTGAGTGAACATTCTATGCTGCATGCTTTGAAGTCTGAGGTACTACATGCATTTCCCTACAGAGGCAAATAGCAGACAGCTGGTGCTTACTGTTGACATGTAAAGCCACAAATACAAATAATTGGGAAACTAGGTTTATTTATTTTTTTGTCTTTTAAAAAATAATTTCCATGCCTTACAAAACATTTGTGGGCTAGCACAATGGCTGAAGGAGTAAAAACATTGGTGAAGCATTAGAATGAGGTGTTTAAAGATATCTCATTTTCATTTGCCTCTTCCTCTCTTAACCACCATGTAAGATCAGTAGCTTCAATTTGATTTTTTCAGACAGTGTTTCTCTGTAGCATTGGAGATTGTCCTGGAACTCCCTCTGTAGACCTGGCTGGCCTTGAACTCACAGAGATCCACCTGCCTCTGCCTTCCAAGTGCTGGAATTAAAGGAGTGTGCCGCCAACACTCAGTTCAGTAACTTAAATATTACTGGGCTTAGAGCAATGATTGGGAGTGGTGGCGTTGTGACAGATCCAAGAAAAGCCTGTGTGACAATCTGAAGTAGAAGCCACCACTCAGTTCCTATGGATTGCTACCATATGACTGTGGATGACTGTGGAGGTGTAATGTGTCACTATCAAGAGAGATTAGACTTTAGCATGAGAATTGACATTTAAATAACAAGTAATTTTAAAGTTTACTGGAATGCTGTATGGGTTGGTGTTACTCGCACCAAATGAAGCATGGTGCTTAGGGCAGGATGCTGCCGCCACCTAGCCATCTCCTGAGGGGATTTGAGTGGGGTCTTGAGTGCTCACACATACCACAGAGCAAAGGAACTATGTTTGAGGACAGCAGAAAGGGCTCCTTGGAGGAGGGGAACAAGAATGGAGCAGAACTTGGAAGGCAGCAGAAATACATGAGCAAAATGTTCCCAGCGAGATGAACCACTTGAACAAAGACCTACAGAGCTGCCGAGATACTCAGAGAAAGGGCTAAGGAGGAGAGATGAGGCAAGGGCATCACTGAGCAGGGGTAGTGACATTCTGATTCCCGTGGTTGAGATATGACCTCGTTCTACCATGGACTTGGCAGTTAGCTATGGCTGTATGAAGGAGGCCACCCGAGGTAGGGAGTTACAAGAGTATAACAGCAGGACAGTAAGTGTGTGTGTCTTTGTCTAGTGTGGATAAATCCTGGAAGGAGCTCAGCAATGTCCTCTCCGGGATCTTCTGTGCATCCCTCAACTTCATCGACTCCACCAATACGGTCACTCCCACCGCCTCCTTCAAACCTCTGGGGCTGGCCAATGGTGAGATAGCCTTTGAGGTCTTTCTTTCTTGTACTTTCTACCCTAACATTTGCCTCTTTCCCTCGGGCTCCTCTCCCACAGATGGCTAGATCCTAAGTCCTGTGGGTGTGCAGATAGCTTTCTAAGGCTGCTATCTCTGTATTGCCTTCTCTCTCACTGGAGATGGGACCACTTGGCAGTGGTACAGGGAGAAGGTGGGCTCACCCGCATCTTCTGAGTGTGGCTCCAGAGTAGGACCCAGGTATACCCTGGATAAACCACTGTCTCCCTCAGACACCGATCACTACTTCCTGCGTTATGCTGTGCTGCCTCGGGAGGTTGTCTGCACCGAGAACCTCACCCCGTGGAAGAAGCTCTTGCCTTGTAGTTCCAAGGTGAGTGTGGGTGGGTGGGTAGGTGTGTAGGTGGGAGCCCCACAAGAAGAAGGGAGTTGGCAGATGTCCCTTTACAGCCTGGCAGCCAGGATGTATTTAAGAGAATCTGTGCCCCATGTCAAGTGCTCCATGCAAAGTACTGACCAGTACTCCTCCTGTCTCCTCCAGGCAGGTCTGTCAGTGCTACTGAAGGCAGATCGCTTGTTCCACACCAGTTACCACTCCCAAGCAGTGCATATCCGTCCTATCTGCAGAGTAAGCCATGGGGAATGGGAATGGGTTTTATCCAGAGGCTCTGACAGACAGTACAGGTAAATCTGCCTGGTTCTGGCTGAGTAGTGAGAGGCAGAAGTGATCCTCATTATGTGGGGCATTGGCTGTGCACCAGGGTAACTGAGTGGTTGCCTGGGAAGCACTCAATAAATCTTTATCGTGGAACACAAAGTCGGGAACAGCAGCCATGTGAGTACAGCTGTTGGCTCGGTCACTCGCCAGCTGGCATGACCTTGAGGAAATCATTTCATTTCCTTGAACTTCATTCTCTCGTTTGTCACATGAGAATAATAGATTCTATTTCGGGGGTGGTTGTAATGGTTCATCAAACTGAGGCCCATCAAGCTGTTGACATGGGATCTGGCTCAGGTTCAAGTGCTCCCCCATAGGGAACAGTAGCAAGTCGGTAGTGAAGATACATAAACAGATAGGGCTTACGTCCCAGTTAGTCCTTGGGGCTGTATGGTGGGATGAGAGTAAAGTGCTGACTGCTACCATCCGGCCCTTATGACAGAATGCTCATTGCACCAGCATCTCCTGGGAGCTGAGGCAAACCCTTTCGGTTGTATTTGATGCCTTCATCACGGGACAGGGGAAGAAAGGTAAGCTGCCTTGGTACCTCATCTCTCTCCACCTGTCTCAGTCCTGCTCTGCCTGCATGGACCCAACCACCCCAGCCCTTGTTCAGCCCTGCTCTTTCTTCTCAGACTGGTCCCTCTTCCGCATGTTCTCGCGGACGCTCACTGAGGCCTGCCCACTGGCATCGCAGAGCCTAGTTTACGTGGACATCACAGGCCACAGCCAGGTACCAAGGTGTTTAGCCGCATATACTCTCCTTCCCCAACATCAGCCTGCCCCTCTGCTTGCTTCTGAGTGCTGCCCTTGTGTTGCCAGGACAACGAAACCCTGGAGGTGAGCCCTCCTCCCACCTCCACATACCAGGGTGTCATCTTGGGCACCCAGAAGACCTATGCTGTCTATGACTTGTTTGACTCAGCTATGATCAATAACTCCCGCAACCTCAACCTCCAGCTCAAATGGAAGAAACCTCCAGAAAATGGTGAGTTGATGGGGGGGGGGATGGGGAAAGGGGGTCACAGCTCAGCAGATCCTCAGTTTTATCCCATTCCCTTAAGTTCATAGGGGTTTAGACCTAACTCTGCATTCATGGTACTGGTTTTAAACTCACCTCTTCTTCACTTAATGACTGGGCAAGTTTCTACCTCCACAGAGCCTTAGTGTCTATAACAATAAGGACACTAATACCTAGTGGATAGGATGTGATGATTACTGTAAAATACAGAGTTCATTCATACATTCAGCCGGTCCAGTAGTTTTGAATTTGTGCCATGCTCTAGACATAGAGTGGTAAATAATACCGTCTTATTTCTTATTTGCCACTGACGTTCTGTAAGAGAGTAGTGTCGGTTCATTATAGTTGTTACTGAAGGGAAGGGAGGAACCCCCTGAGAGTGCTCTTGTGGGCAGGAAGGGGACACAGGGGCAGACACATGAGCACATGTTGTCCTTGTGGTCGAGGGAAGCTGGATGATTCCAGAGCCAATGCACCCAGTTCTTCTGGCAGAGCTTTTCCCCACCTGGCCCCTGATCGGGGGCTCTGAGTATGGCTCAGGCAGCTGGGGTAGGAACTGAGGCTCCTTTAGGAAGTGATTCAGTGTTGCTTCTTTTTTTTTTTTCTCAGCAGAGGCCCTTCCTGTGCCCTTCCTGCATGCGCAGCGGTATGTGAGTGGCTACGGGCTGCAGAAGGGAGAGCTGAGCACGCTGCTGTACAACGCCCATCCTTACCGGGCCTTCCCTGTGCTGCTGCTGGATGCTGTGCCTTGGTACCTGCGGCTGTATGTGCACACCCTCACCATTACCTCCAAGGGCAAGGAGAACAAACCAAGTGAGGAGCTAAGTCCCAGCCAGAACCCCCAGTTCACCTCAGCTCACCCTTTCTTAGAATCCTCCAGATTCCCTTCTCCGTACATAGTTCCTGAAGTACCCCCGAAGGCCTGTAAAGGCAGAGAGAGGGAGAGTTAGGAATGGTTTTAGAAAATACAGCAGAGGCTGGGTGGTGGTGACGCATGCCTTTGCCCAGCACTTGGGAGGCAGAGGTAGGAGCATCTCTATGAGTTTGAGCCAGGGCTGTTACACAGAGAAACCCTGCCTTGAAAAAGCAAACAACAAAACCCAGTAGAAAGCATCACTGTGTTAGATTCAGAAGTAACTAACAAAGCAAAGCAGCCCTTCTGTACTTGTAGAACATGTGTCGCTGAGGATTCTTAGTGCAGTCCAAGGACAGCAGCCTCATGCCTCCCCACTTCCTCCTCCCTGAGAACGTCCTCAAGTTTCAGGACAGACAGAGTCTGAGACAGAATGGGTTAGACAAGGAGAAGTAGCCGTGGGGGTGTCTGGTTTCTTCACTTTTTTGGGAGAGTAAAGAGGTTAACCCCTTGTTAACCCCTTGATGCACAAACATCACTGTTAAGCCAGAAACTTTCCTTTCTTGTTCTTCCCCAAAATCATATGTTAATATCAATATTCTGAATTTTAAAGGTCCCACAGTCTTTAAAAATTCAAACATTTAAAAATTCATCATGTTGAAGTAGCCAATTTCTTTTAAATTTCAAAGTCTTAGCCAGGCAATGCTGGCACATACCTTTAGAGTTTGAGGCCAGCTTGGTCAACACAAAGACACCCTGTCTTGGGGGGAAAATTCAAAGTCTTTCAAGGGTGGGCTGCAATAAAATCAAAAATAAATTAAATACTTCTCACTTCAGGAGGGAAGAACAAGGGAACGGTCACAATCTGAACATAGCAAAACCAAACCCAACAGTATAAATAACTCAGTGTCCAGTTGCTGGGACCCACTCACGATCTGGACTCCTCCGAAGGGCTGGGGTCCCTTCTGCAGCTCCGCCCTCTGCAGCGCACACAGCTGTCTTCTCGGCTCCAGCTGACTCCACTCCGTGCTGCTGCTGTTCTCGGTGGTCGTCCCGCGGCACTGGCCTCTCCAGATGCCGGGGTCTCTGCTGACACTGGGCTGCACTTTCACCAGCAGCCTCTCCTGGGCTCTCTTCAGGGACTCCAGCCCTGCCACACAGGGACAAGCTTCAGATGTTCTCTGTGATACCTTCATACCTTCAAAAGCAGCACTAGCTGGGTGACTCTTATATGACCAATTTAGTTGCCCAGCACAAAGTACAACCTTGGCTACCTCTGGAACACAGCTTCTGTGTGCTGACTGTAAGAAAACACTTCCCAGAAGACTTCGCCTCAATGATGCTGGTCTCTTAATCACTGCTAGTTCTTCAGCTCCAGATGAGCAGCATTTATTGTCCCCCAAAAAGCAAAGGTTTACTTTAGCAATTCGTGTGTTTTGTTAATCACAGCAGATTTTTCTGGTCTCTTGCCAATGACAGCCAATTCTCCAGCTCCAGCTGAGCAGACACCACAGATTTTTCACACAAAAGGCCTGGTAGAGTCTTTGCTTCCCTCTGAAACTTCACAAGCCAGGCTGCCATCCTCTACACTGCTCTCTACACTGGAACATTCTTATCTTCCAGGCTCCCACAGAACACTTACTGACTTTTCCAGCTCAAAGTCCTTCCATAATACTCCCTAAAACAACATGGTCACATCCGTCATAGCAATACCCAATTCTTAGTACAAACACCTGTCCTAATTAGGGTTTCTGTTGCTGAGATGAAGAAACACCATGACCGATAGCATGTTGGGGATGAAAGGGCTTATTTGGCCTACACTCTTACATAGCCCATCATTGAAGAAATTCAGGACAGGAACTCAAACGGGGCAGGAACTGATGATGCAGAGATGCAGAGGCTGTGGAGGGATGCTGCTTACTGGCTTGCTCAGCTTTATTTATTTATTTATTTATTTATTTATTTATTTTTTTGGTTTTTTCAAGACAGGGTTTCTCTGTATCTGTCCTGGAACTAGCTCTCGTAGACCAGGCTGGCCTCAGACTCAGAGAGATCTGCCTGCCTCTGCCTCTGCCTCCTGAGTGCTGGGATTAAAGGCGTGCACCACCACTTCTCTGCTTAGCTTGCTTTCTCCCTACAATGGGCTGGGCCATTCCCCATCAATCACTAGTTAAAATGCCCTGTAGCATAGCTGGATCTTATGGGAACATTTTCTCAGTTGAGGGTTGCTCCTTTCGGGTAACTGTAATTTGTGTCAAGTTGACATAAAGCTAGCCAGTACAGGGGTAAAATTTAGAATTTGTTATGTTTTTTTTTTTTTTTTTTTTTTTTGGCCAGGAGGCTGAGAAAGACAGATTGCTGAGTTTGCCTGGTCAAGAGTGAGTTCCAGGACAGCCAGGGCCACCAGAGAAGTCTTGTCCCCAAATAAACGAATTAAGTTTAAAATTTTTAAAGAAATGTTATTTTTTAAAGAAAGTATTGACATTTGCTGATGCTTCCTACTGGATGCCTGGCATCACCCAAGCATTTGTTTTACTTTGGTATGAAGAGATACCGATGATGAAGAAAGAGGCAAATATCAATCCCAGGGGCCAAACTGAGGAACTTTTAAATCATGTTTCCTACATTTTCAAACCTTTGGTTAATAGTTTCAGCACTATTCAAAAATTGTGTTTCAGACATCCTTTATACATAGGGTGAATTTTGTGCCCCCCCCCCAGGGTATTGGGAATTGAAAAATGAACTTAGGCCTTGTACATGCTAGACAAGTGCTGTCTATTCTATTACACCCCCGCCCTCTTTGTTTCGGATTTTGTGGTTGGGTTTTTTTTTATTGTTTGTTTGTTTGTTTGTTTGTTTGTTTGTTTGTTTTGAGATAGGGTCTTCCTGTGTCTCCTTGGCTGGCCTGCTAGGATCATTGGTGTTTGTTGTTATACTCAGCTTCCCACTGACCTTTACACTTGGAAACAGGGTCTTGTGAAGTTGCCCAAGCTGGTCTTGAACTTTCATTCATCCACTTTCCTCAGCCTCCCAAGCATCTAGCAGCATGGGCGTAGCACAAGACTATTCTTCCAGGGTCAGCTGCGTTTTCTTTGACTCTGGAGAATCTTGAACACACCCAAGCATAATAGGTTCCCAGCTGGGTATCATGCCTTTAGTAATCTCCTATCTTTCTTAAAGCATTGTATCAATTTCACTTTAAATATTTCAGAATATGTTCTTAATAGACAAAATTAAGCCATTATCACTATTTATTTCCAGGTTAGCATACATACACCACATTGGATTTTTTGTTTGTTTGTTTGTTTTGTTTTTCGAGACAATGTCTCTCTCTCTGTATTGCTTTGGAGCCTGTCCTGGAACTCTCTGTAGACCAGGTGACCTCAAACTCAGAGATTCACCTGGCTCCCCAGTGCTGGGATTGAAGGCATGGGCCACCAACCAACGCCCGGTTAGCATCTTTATATGCTATCACTCTCAGTGTCTCCCAGGGCTCTAGCACTAGCTTTCTGTGTCTGGTTTGTCTGTTCTTTTCATCGTCTGCTTGCCTCCAGCATGCTCTTGCTCTTTATTTCTTGAGCGCTTTCTTCTTTCATTGGTGTGCTTTATTTTTTTAGGGTGGTTTTAGGTTTGCAGAACAGTTAAGTTCAGAGATCCTGTGTTCATTCTCTGCAGTCAGCTCTGTTATCACTCTCATGCTGCACGCCATGTGTGCTCCTCTCCATCCCCCAGCCCGGGACTTGCACATGTGAGGCGAGCACTTTACAACTGAGCTCAGCCACAACCCCCCCCCCCCCAAACTTTGGTTTTCTAAGACAGGGTTTCTCTGTGTTGTTTTGGCTCTAACTCACAGAGATCTGACTGCCTCTACCTCCCCTATACTGGGATTAAAGGCGTGTGCCGCTGGTGGAGGTGGCTGGAGAGGTGGCTTAGCAGGTCAAGAGCACTCACTGCTCTTCTAAGAGGACCTAAATTTGGTTTCTAGCATCCACATCAGGCAGCTCACAACCACCTCTAACTCCAGCTCCTGGGGGAATCTGACACCCATTTCGATCCTTTTTGGGTAGTACACTCATGTACAAACCCACTCACAGACACACGTACATAAACATAAAACAAAAATAAAATAGTAATTAAAAAAAAGAACTACTGAAAATCATGATTGTGCCGGAGATTGAACCCAGAACCTCATGCTTGGTAGGTGTTAACATCAATCTGTACAGTTCACAGCTTTTTAAATTTTATTTTTCTATTTGCTTACAAAGTAACAGATTTTCTTATGGCTTTCTCATATATACTTTTTAAAAAGTGCTATTTGCTAAAACTGGGTCGTCTGTTATATAATGTGTAAGGAATGTTTGGCATTTCTGGGTTTGTCCTTGTGCTACTGTTTAATGTGAGCTGGTATTACATTTAGAAACTTGATTAGATTTATGTCCTATATTTTTGGCAAGAATTCCCAAATGACTCTGTGGACCCCCTGTTGCATTACATCAGAGGGCGATGCCTGGTGCCCCAGTTTAATGAATTATTCATGTGTTTATGTATTTGTTTATTTGTGGGAGGGTTATTTGTTCTGGGGCATGCGTGAAGAGGTCAGAGGGCAGCTTGCAGGAGTTGATTCTCTCCTTACCATATGGTTTCCAGGGACTGAAACCAGCAGGGCTGTCAGGCTCAACAGCAGGTGTCTTTACCCTTGAGCCACCTGAGCAGCCCAGATGCCCCAGTTTTAGTGATGGGAGATTGATGGTCCGCAGCTTCCACGGCAGCTTCTTCTGACTGTGTCCTGGGTTTGCCGCCTGGAAGCACGCTCTCCCTTTTCTGAAAACACATTTCTTCTCTAGCTTGACTTCTTTTTGATCCCAAGGCAGAGGGGCAGGGAGGTGTAGGTAGTCTGATTTTAGGAACAGAGTCTAGGTGGCTCTTGCCTCCATCCAGGTTACATCCATTACCAACCTGCCCAGGACCGACAGCAGCCCCACCTCCTGGAGATGCTGATTCAGCTGCCAGCCAACTCTGTCACCAAAGTCTCCATCCAGTTTGAGCGGGCGCTGCTCAAGTGGACTGAGTACACACCAGACCCCAACCACGGCTTCTATGTCAGGTGGGCTCTACCCCATAGTCTGCCCCCACTCCTGCTCTTACCCTTTGGTAAGAGGAGCCAGTAAAGAACACAGCCTGTCTGCTTCTCTGCAGCCCATCTGTCCTCAGCGCTCTGGTGCCCAGTGTGGTGGCAGCCAAACCAGTGGACTGGGAAGGGAGTCCTCTCTTCAGCACCTTGTAAGTGTGACCACACCCTCCTGCTGTTAGGTCCTCAGCTACCTACTGGGTGGCTTCCAAAGCCGTGGGGGATTTAATCTGTGAAATGTGTGAAGATCGTAGCAAAGGCTTCTAGGGTGCTACTGCTAAAACAAGTAGGCGAGAATAGTAGCATGTACCCAGTGACCTGAAAAGCAGCCCAACTGCTTACTGAAACTGCTCACCAAGCCGCAAGGATTTCAGAAAGCCTCTGATATGCAACCTGGCCTGTCTCGCTGTGCTCACAACCCAAAGGGCATATTGTTTTAGATTAGGGTGGTGGTAGTGGTGGTTTTGGTGGTGGTGTATATAGTAAGTTACTTATTTTTGTGAGGATGGCCATTTAGGCTGAGACTAAGCTAAGGCAGTAACAAGGCAGACCTGTCAGTGTTGGTGGCTTCTTTTAACCAGGCATGCATGCATGTGTATGGGGGATGCTCCTTTACAAGGTTTCAAGACTAGAACTCTGGAAGCTGTGACTGAGTAGCACTAGCTGCCGCTCCGGGTTGGGGAAGACAGTGGGGAGGGAGGGACAGCCAGTCCCATCTCACCACTCTCCCCCATCCCTAGGTTCCCAGTGTCTGATGGCTCCAGCTATTTTGTGCGACTCTACACAGAGCCCTTGCTGGTAAACCTGCCCACACCTGACTTCAGCATGCCCTACAACGTGATCTGCCTCACGTGCACTGTGGTGGCTGTGTGCTATGGCTCCTTCTACAACCTCCTCACCCGAACCTTCCACATTGAGGAGCCCAAGTCAGGTGGCCTGGCCAAGAGACTGGCTAACCTCATCAGGCGTGCCCGCGGTGTCCCTCCTCTCTAAGACTACCCTTGAGCATTCCTAGCTGCACCCTACCCACTCACTCCTGTTCAGGGCAGTAGGGCTGGGACTTTTTCTACCACTCTTTCTGTCCCCAGAGTTAGATTTTGGAGCAAACTCCGCCTAGGCCTGGCCAGGGCCTAGAGCTGTGGTGACCAGTGTGGCAGCCTCAAGCCAGATGCAGTGCAGAAATGCACGTTTCCCTTCTTCTGTAGCAGCCTCACTTGTGTCCAGAAGTGGCTAGTGCTGCTGTACACTGGACAGCCTAGAGAAAGTCCCATCATCGCAGGACGTTCTGATGGCCCAGGAAATGGAGTGCAGAAGCGCTTGTGTACTGTGTGGTGGGTTGAATTTACTGTTGTAATAAAGTGGCTGCTTTCCTAGGTTATTGCTGTCTCCTTGAGGCCTGGGAAGAGTTCCCAGCCAAAGCCTGCGTGAGGAGTGCAGCTCTGCCCACTCCTGCCAGAAATTCCTCCTCTGTGTATTCTCCACACCCCTCTCAAAGTAATTCTCCAACTCTGGGTTTGGCTGGGAGGTTTTGTGTAAATATAATCTATGATCATGAAAATGAATCCTGTCAGCAAGGGCAGAGGCAGGAACGGCTAACTGCCGTGTCAAAATGGCTGGGGCTCACTGTGGTGCTGGGAAACGAACGTTTGATGCTAAGGACCACTCCTTAGACCACCCACAAGCTCTGAAGTTTGGCCGTTGGCTCCAAGCCTGCCCCTGCCCGCCTCCCCTTGTTAGAGAACTCTGGGTGGGTTCCAGCATGGCATACATGGACTGTTCACCAACCATGAAACCCTTAACTGCCTGCTTCACTTTCTTCCAAAGCTGAGTGAGACATTGCTTCCTCTGGGAAGTCTATGGCGTGCCAGGGTGGCATCAGTGCCTCTGCTTGCACTTACCTTGTCCCTTGTTACCCGCTCGTGCCTGTTGACTTCCATCGCACAGTGCTTGCCGTAAGGGGGGGGGGGGCGTCTTTCAGTAGGGGGTGGCCCATCTCAGGATGTACCGATAGTGCTCAGTCAGCAATGGCAAGCAAGCATCTGGTGAATTCTGGTCAGGGTCACTGGCTGGGCCATTTTGGGTCATTCACCAGCTTAGGCAGATGAAAGGAGGGAGGGAAGGTGCTGGGCTAGTCCAGACCTGAGCAAAAGCAGCTTGCTCTAGACCTTTCTCCTTGTGCTTTCTCTCCAAGGAGCAAATAAGCAAGTTGTGAGAGGCATGAGTGCAGCTGGGCCAGGAGCTGTGCTTATGACCTGGAAACTCAGTAATCTGCAGTTAGGATTGTGAATTCAAGGCTCAACCAGGCTATGTAGATCCCATCTTCAAAAAACAAAACAAAACGGAGAGAGAAACAAAGGCTGGGCACATTGGCACATAACTTTTATCTAAGCACCAGGGAGGCAGAGAGTCAGGTAGCTGCTCTCTTGAGTTCAAGGCCAGCCTGGTCTACCCGTAAGTTTAGGACAGCCAGGGCTACATAGTGAGACCCTGTCTCAAAAGTACAGGAAAAAAATGTAGGTGGGTGGCTTTCAAAAACTGAAGGATTTTGGCAGTCAAGTGGTGTGTGGGGTTTGACGGCCAAGTCAGAAGGGCATGAAGTAGCCCTGATCCATCTCAAGCACCTCCACAGGCTGCCTGCACCTGCATGTCTTGCTCATCTCTCCCAGAATGCATTTACCCAGCTGCCTTCATCTTCTTGCCATCTCCATTTGGATGGCTGGGATCCCCACAGCTGAGCTTCTCATATTCCCTGCTCCACCCCAGCTGTTTCACCCATAGTCCCCCTACATCTGTCAGTGGCATCCGTCCTCTTTCCATCTGTCCAGACCTTGGAGTCATCTTTGATCTTCGGCACATCTAATATGCACCTTCAAAATAAACTCAGACTCTGACGCCTTTATGTGTGGGTGCATAAGGAAACTAGATGTCAACAGCAAGTGCCATCTTGTGCTTTTTTGTTTTAATTATTTGCATGTGCATGTCTGTATCACATGCATACAGTGCCCACAGAGACCAGAGGAGGGTGTCGTGTCCCCTGTGGTGAGTTACAGATGATTGTGAGCTACCCTGTGGTTGCCAGAAATGAAAGCCAGGTCCTCTCAAAGAACAGCCAGTACTCCTAACCCTGAACTATCCATCGTACCATTGTCTTTTGAGACAGAGTTTCTCACTGGCTTGGAGTTGGCCAACTAGGCTAGGATGGCTAGAAGCAAGCCCCAAGGGTATGAGCCTGTCACCATCTCCCCAGCACTGAGACATATACATGTCACTATGCCTGTTTTACATGTCCTCTAAGGATTGAACACTGGTCCTCAGGCTGACTCAGCAAGCCCTTTACCAGGGGAGCCACCTCCCAGCCTTCCAGACTTCTTTCTGCCTTCCACTATCAAGTTTTCTGAGGCGTGTTCCTGGCCACACCCTATTTCTAGCTCCTTCTTAAGCCCCAAGCATGTTCCTTTCCTGGTTGTTTTCCACTCCAGCTCTAGCCTCCTTTTCACAAACTGTGAGCAGTCATTACTCCCCCTGTCCTGCACTAGAGTCTGCCAGTGATCTAAGGTCACATGGAAAGCCCCCTGCTAAGCAAGTCAGGCCAACCTGTTCTCAGCTTCTAAGTCTTGGTGTGTGTGGGGTGGCCTTGAGTGACTATGTAAGGAGTGGGTGAGGCCTGTGTGAATGTGTATTAATGACAAGGACCAAATACCTCAGGCTGGTGGGAAGTGGCAAAGCCTTCCTCTGGTCCAAGTATGAGTGTTGTTCTGTGTGTGTGTGTGTGTGTGTGTGTGTGTGTGTGTGTGTGTGTGTGTGTAAAAATTAGCAACAGCAGCTCCCTCCTCCCAGGGGACTTCAGCCTGAGACTCCTCCCCTAGAGAGACCTACTGAGCCTCCATCACCTCAACGAATTCTGTACAGAATAAACAGGACGAGGTTCTGGGTTGCTGTGTGGATAGTGCTACTGTGTGCCTTGCTCACCCAACCCTAGTTTTTCTGTATGTGCATCTGCCCTTCATTCCCCCGTTGCCCAGTCAAGTTTCCAGGGCCAAACCGAGCTGCACATGGCACCCTGGCATGCCTGCTCTGCCAATACTGGAATGACCATCCATCCCTGTGCTTGGGACAAGAGCACTTCCTTTAGGCTCACTAATGTTTCTTCTGGTGTGGGCCTGACAATCACCTTCTCCAACAGAGTTGGCACAAGGCAGTGGCATCTGGGCAAAGAGCTAGAGGTGCCCAGCCAGCCGCTTGGGGGTGTAAGATGGGGTGGCTAGGAAGGTGGGAAAAGTGCTTCTCACCCTGAGAACTCCTAGGGAAAGGGTTAGGGAGTGAGAACCCTACAAAGATGAAGTAGCTAGCGGGGTGGAGGGGCCCTCACAGCTTCCGCCATGCCTTGTAACCAACTGCTGTTCTGTTTATTAGACATCGAATGTATTATATGCCTGCCAGGACCCTTACAGGATGCAAAGTGGGTACTTTGTGGATTATAGGAGAACAGGGAACTCTGCTTCTCCTGGCCCAGCCTCCCTCTCCCCAGCATTAAGAATACAAGGAGTATTAGTTAAAAACAAAACACTAGGGATTCTGTGTTGCATACTGTGTATGCCTCGGAGGAAGTAAACTGCCAGGCCAGGGTAGTCAACATGTAATTACACATGCCCAGGTCCTGGGCTAAGGACTTTACATGTAACTTTGTCCTCATGACAATCCCATTCCATATTATGTTTGTTTACAGATGAACCTAAGGACTTAAGGACCCATAATCTGTGAGGGATGAGACAGGGATTAGAACTCAGACAGACGGCCTGGTTTGTAACCTGTGTTCATGCAGTAACCCTTTCGAGAGGAGAGTGACCCACTGTCCTTGGCAGAAAAGAAGGAGGCTGACTATGCTAACCTGGTAAACGAGGATGTTTGGGGCTAGGAGGTCCATCTGGTGGGAAGGAGGCATGGAGAACTGGCCCTAGAGGCCAGCAGCTGGCAACAGCTGCCCTAGCTAGGTGCTCTTAGAAGCCTCACAGGAAGTGGTGCAGTCCCTGGGCCATGAGGGTCTGGAAGGGCCCTGGCCCTGGCCAGAACTCTTTCCATCCACAGCAGGCTAGAACAGGAGGCACAGAAGTCTGGGTTAAGGCCGAGCCCCTGCCTGGAGCAGGAAGGGCAGGAGAGCGAGGAAGGGCGGAACCACCTTGCTTAGATCATCTCATATTTTCCTAAGTCTCTGTTTGGGCCTGTGCTCTGGCCTCCAAGGGCTAGTTCATTTTGTTCTACATTCGCCAAGCCTTCTCTGCCCCTTTCCACTCCCTCAGCAGTCACATCTTCAACCGGGCAACCACAATCACACAACGATTACTTCACTCACCCGCTCATATTTCTCTCTTTTTTCTATCCATGTTTTTGGGGGGTGGGGTTGTTTAGAGACACGTTGGACTCAAACTCAGAGATCTACCTGTATCTGCCTTCTGAGGGCTGGGATTAAAGTTGCGAGGCTGGGATTAAAGGTATCGAATCTTTTGTAGTTGTTCTGTTTTTCAAGACAGGGTTTCTTTGTGTAACAGTCCTAGCTGTCCTGGAACTTGCTCTGCAGACCAGGCTGGCCTTGAACTCATAGAGATCCACCTGCTTCTGCCTCTCAAGTGCTGGGATAAAAGGGTGTGCGCCAATACTGCATGGCTTCTATCCATTCTCCTATGCAGTCAACAAATACTTTATCCAGCACCGACTGTCTGCTAAGCATTGTTCTAGACGCTGGGGACCTGGTTGTGAATGACAAGGGACCCTCCACACTCAAGTTGAGCAAAGGAGGCAGATAATAAATAAACACGGGTGTTATAAAGAAGAAGAAAGCAGACTTGGCACCAGATGGCAGGTAGGAAAGGCCTCTGAGGGAGTGACCAGCTAAGGTGGGTGCTCCATCTGTCTGATGCAGCCTGGGCTAAAGCCACAGTGAAGGTTCCCCTCGCTCTACTTTCCCACTAGAAGCCTAAGCCAGGGCTGGCTCCACAGCATGTTCTTCCTGATGTGACTTTGCAGGATCCAAGTTTGGTCTTTGGCAAACCAAGGAGGATACCAGGGGGACATTTGCAATGTGTAACACTGAAGCATGTTCCCAGACACCAGTGTTATCCCCATGACACAAGAGTGCCATGCAAATGGCAGTGTGGAACCCCTTTTGTGGCTTCTCTTCGATCTTATGTATCTATTGCTCTTACAGTAAGAGCAAATGGCTAGACTAGGTGCAGGACCAGAAGGGTTGATTGCGGATGGGAGGGCTCTCCACCCCAGGTCAGGACAGACCCCTGCTTTTTGTCAAAAAAAAAAAAAAAAAAAAAAAAAAAAGTAACAATGGCACTTGTTCAGCCTTAAAGAGGAAGGAAGCTGACACACGGATGAGCCTTAAGGACACTGCCAACTGTGGGTGGGGACTGGAGTCCCACCCAGGCGCATGGAGGCTCCCTGCCCTCAGCCACTCCCTCTGCACACTCTCCTAGCACATGTTTCCTGCTAGGCAGGAAGAGCCTTCAGGGGCTTGAGATGGAATCGCAGGTGGCAGAGAACAGTAGGCTAGGCTCAGGGGACAGACATGTAAAC